ACGTACTCTAAAGCAAGGTTAACAAACATGAGTCCCCTTCCAAACCTCCAGCTCATCACACATTCTTGTTAGATTTTAATGGTAGCCGACTAGGCTTCTTCTCCATCTGAAGATGTGTTTCACTTTCTTCCTTAGTGGCCTAAAGTGATTTATATGGTTGACTCCTTCACAAATAAACCAGAAAAGGAATTAATATTATATCCGGCCATGCTGCTGGCTGCCCTGAGTGTTTATGGCTGTGTATTTTAAATCAAGCAGAGTAATAAGCAAAAGGATGGGTGGATGTCGAGGGCAGGTTGAGGGCTGGGCTAGGTGGCGGGTGAAGGCCACAGAGGGACACGTCTGAGCTAGTATGCCTTCCTTCTCAATGTAGTTACCTAGGGAATTGGAGACTTGAGATTCAACTTGGGGTGAAGCTTCATGAAAATTTGGGGAAAGAGCCTGGGGATTCTTGAAAAGGCAGGGTGAGTTTCCAATGGACCAACCATACACAATGCCTTCCCTAAGCAGGGAGAAGAGGATCATCTTGAGATCTGTGGGAAAGGCTGAAAACATCTTCAACAAGTGCCCAGCCCAAACTTCCTACGTGAGAGCTATTTGTTGATGTTCTGACTATCAAAAGGGTCCTCGCAACCAGACACTTGAAACTCAAACTGTAAAGCAGAGAGGGCACGTATGTGTGTTGGAAGACTGGGGAGGTGGAGTGTGAGAGCAAATAGCCACCTCAATCAAAAGAAGCCCACGTGAAGGTCTCCCTGGTGGCCTAGGGGTTAAGTCCCAGCGCTGTCACCTCTGCGGTCCAAGTTCGATCCCCAGCCAGGGAGTGACTCCCCAGGGCGCAGCAGACCTCTCCTGTTCCCCCGCTGCTCCCCTCAGTGGTGCATTTCAGCAAATCCGCCTGGTCTGCTCCCCACTCTGTCTCTGGTGAGTCCTCTCAACCCCCACACCTCTGGCCCACTCCCCAGTTCTTCTGTGCATAAATAAATAAAAATGAATCATTTAAAAAAGAGATTTGTTTATTTTTTATTTTTGAATACTTTTTAATTTTTTTACATCCTTCTTCATTTTTTGCATTTTTTCATCTCAGTTGTAACCCCCATGGGCTTCCCACCACCAGTTAACCCATGTGCCATCACCACAGTCCAGCACACTCTTCCCACCCCAGTTCTGATCCCACTCCCCCTCCACCCCCATAAAATGTCTCTGGTTTATAGTTGTTCATTGTTTTCCTTTTTACTCTACTACCTTTGTCTGTCTCACGCTCTTTTCCTTTTTTTTCTCTGATCCCTTATGCTCCTGCTATGAGTGAAATCATCCGGTATTTTTCTTTTCCTTTCTGGCTTATTCCACTAAGCATGATTTATTTATTTATTATAAAAGAACTGGGGCGCACTCCACAAGTGCAAGGGGTGAGAGGATTCACCAGAGTCAGAGTGAAGAGCAGAACAGGGGAATCTAATGAAATCCACTGCTGAGGAGAGCAGTGGGGAGACAGGAGATGTCTGCTGTGCCATGTGAGTCAGCTCCCTGGCCAGGGATCAAACTCAGGCCATAGTGGCTGGCAACAGCTGATAGCAACACTGACCCTTTAACTCCTGTGCCACCAGCGACACCCAATAAATAAACCTTAAAATAAAGAAAAAGACATCCAAGCCATCAACACAACCAACTGACTCAAAGCTGGGGGCAAAAATTATTTCTAGGGCCCTCCCTGGTGGCACAACGGGTTAAAGCACAGAACAGCAAGCTGGCTGCAGCCACCTCAGTGTAAGTTCAGTTCCTGGCCAGAGCTGACCCACATGGTGCGGCAGACCTCTCCTGACCCGCCCGCTGCTCCCCTCAGCAGTATATTTCGTCAGTCGGCCTGTTCTGCTCCCCACTCTGTCTCTGGTGAATCCTCTCACCGCCCCTGCACCTCTGGCCTGTACCCCAGCTCTGTCAGCATAAATAAATAATTTTTTTTTTAAAAAATTACTTCTAACCCTCACTCATTTGCTGCAGGTACACTTCCCCATTTGCTCCAACCCCAAGTATGAAACATGACCGTCCTAGCCTGGCCTGCTGTCAGCATGACTGCAGTCACTAGAAATCACACCTCATGTTTGGATCGTGCTTTATGGTTTCTGGGCTTCCAAATATCAGATCAGCACTAGTGAGCTGGCATCCTGGCATTCATCCTGCCGGGCTGCAGGGCAAGAGTGAAGTTCAAAACAAAGAAAGAGATGGAACCTCTTTGGTGGTGAGAAGGAAGACAAGGCTATGCTCTGCATGACGCCAGCTGTGTTTTTATGCCTCCCTGCCTGCCCCACCCCGGCTCTGCCCTCAGGAGTTCATCCAAACTGCCCCATCATACCAGGGCCCACTCCTGGTTTAACAACCCTTTACCTCTTGGTCACAAGTTCATTCTCTTAAGGGGAAGGGTGTCCTAAAGGAGCTTTGCAGAGTCTTATGGACCCCACCCACTACTCCAGCTTTCTGGACTCCACCCCCTACTCCAGGGATTGGAAACTACAACTCCCAGCAGCACCAAGGAGAGAACTGTGAGGACCCAAGGGCGGAGCTAAGTAGGCATTCTGGGACTTTGGGGGATAAATAGGGCGCCATTTTGTCCAACAG